TGATTCACAAATCACTATAATATATATATATCAGTATTTTTTCAACATTGATATTTATAATATTAATATATTTTTAATAATTTTATCTCATAATGCAATTTAGTAACACTCTCTTTCACAATATTAATATATTTCAAGAAATATGACAGAGATTAATCAAGATTATTTATTTACTTTTATACAGTGATGAATTGATGATATTCAACCTGAGTTAGTACTAAAATTATAACTAAGCTAAGAAAGAAGATTATTTTCTCTTATAATAATTCTTCTTATATATATCAGTGATCAGTTATTATCTTTATTAAAAATAAATTATTATCTTTCTTAAATCTTTATTATATCTTCTGAATTCACTTCTTTCACTTCTTTCACTTCTATTGAAGATTTACAAACTCTTTAAGAAATCACTGTGAATTACAAAGTCTATATTATTTATAATTTAATATAGAATACTCTCTTTCAATTATGATAAATAATCACTTCATTCTTCACATCTGATTTCAGATCATGAAATTTATGAAAAACTTAACACAAATATTAAGATAAACTATGAAATACTTATTAAATGAATTGTATTACAGATTACTGAAGAGTTATCTCTCTACTATCATTACTGTAACTTTATTCAGAAATATTCATCATGAACTGATTATAACTCTGATGAAATTTCTCAACATCTGAAGTTATCAGAATGCAGATGATAGAAGAAAAACAATCAGAAAATTACTACTGAGCTGATAAGTTACTCTATCAGATAATAATTTTTGATAGTACTAACTTTCTAATTTGAAGAAAATCATGTGAAAATAATAATATATTAGTACTCTGATTTCATAACTCTCATCTGATAACTTCTGTGAATAATTACTTTATATATATATATCTCTGAATCTTTCTCTTCAATCAATTGAAAACTCCGAATTCTGAACACTGCTTCAAATGCTTAATTCAAATCTTCATATTTCATATTAATTATGTCTTCAGTTTAATCTTGAGATACATTACAAAGTTAATATACAATATCTAGAATTAGAGTTGAAGAATCATCAAAGAGTGTCTCTCACAGTGAATGTATGAACTAGTACAAAAAATCTTGTATTTATAAGAGTTACATGTTATTACATTGATAAGAACTGAACTTATTAAGAGATATTAATTGAATTTGAATCATTGATCAGTAGTCATACTGAGAATTATATAACAGAGATATTAATAACAGTGATTAAATACAACTATTAAAATATTAGTTTCAGTCTTCTTACAATTACAACTGATAATACTGTGAATAACTACACTATGATGAAGAGCTTGAAGTAAAAATTGACTTTGCATTTCTGAAATGATAAACAAGGTCATATTCTCTGCATTGCTCATGTAGTTTAACTTATGATATAAACACTGATAAATAATCTTGTCATCAAGACAATGAATAATGAGATGACTGATTCTTGAGATGAGAATGAGATAGAAGTGATTACTCAAGTAACTTTTATATTCACTTTATAAAAGATAATGTTTTTTGATAAGACTTTTTGATATTACTTTTTAATAATGCTTTTTAATAATACTACTGTTAATTTTGAATAGATTAATTAATAATTTAAATATCACAGATTTAAAACATTTCTAATGTGATTTATATCTTCTCTAAATAATAACAATAATTTCATAATATTCAATAAATAAACAAGTCAGTCATATCACAGAATATGATACAGAATGTTAGAATATAGTGAAGTTTAATATATAAGATGACTGTTTAAGATCTTCAATTGTGTCAGATAATTAATCATTAAATACAACACACTGATTGAAAAAAGATTCAGATATTGAAACTTTCTGATATGAAGTGAACTCAGTTGAAATATATGATTGATTTATTGTTTCAGTTTTATAAGATAATAAACACATTTATAATCACTTATACATCAATGCTGTAGTCAGTCTGATAAGTGTATAACAGTTTATTTACTCATCTTCAGAAGTAGTTGAATCACTCAAAAAGAAATTCAGTCTGAGATGATGCTATAGTGCAGACTATTATTACTGTAAGAGATAAACTGATATATTACTACAGTAAAACTGAACAATCTTTTACAGAGTACTATACTGTAGCAGCTTTACTAGATCTCTCTCATTGAGTTAATATCTACACTTCTCAAGATTAAACAGAGAAGAAATGAGACTGGTATATTAAATTAGTCTGAAACTACTATAATATTAACTATCAGAGATTTGAATAAGCAGATTTTTAAGATATGAAGACAGTGAAATACAATTCTCTAGTAAGTAACAATCTTTGATAACACTTCATATTACATAGAACTACAATACTAACTTTGAAACAGAACTTATATATATTAATTGCAATCAAAAACCAGACAAAATCATATACTTGTAAAACTGAATTTAATCACTATCTTCAAGATGATCTGATGAATTTATACATTAAATCAATTCTAAAATTATGAAAAATTGTTAAGAGTATATATTCAACTGTTGCACTGATGATATGCGATATTCTGACAATTTCATTAACAGAGATGAGAATGAAGTGAAAATTCAACTCAAGCTGACATATTTATCACTATCATCAGAGACAAATATAAGAAGAAACAGAGTATAAGTCTTTATAAGATCTTCTGTTCAGATTGTCTGAACTGCAAGTGAAGAATGAATATACTCAGTATATTCAGAAACTGCTTATAACAGAGATTTACTCTGCAGAAATAAAGAATTAAAGAGACTTAAATAATCTCTTATAAAAAGAGAGCTGAATTTATATGTCTGTGAATGAGTTTCTATACATAGAACTTATTAAAAGGCATCATGACTCTTCTCTAGCAGGTCATTTTACAGATACTAGAACTCATGAGTTACTTATAAGAAAATACTTCTGACTGAAGATATGAGAACTTATGAAAAAGATAGTGAATTCTTATATTATTTATCAGAGTGTATAAGTAGTGCAGTTCAGATTATATAAAGAACTTACTTCTCTACTTATTTCACAGAAATCTTGAAAACAGCTAGAAATAAACATTCTTATAAGTCTCTCTAAAAGTAAGAACATATATAATATCTGCTTTGACAGTGTACTGATGATAGTGAATTACTTTATCAAGATAACACACTTTATACTCACTCATAAGAACTTAAAGTTAAAGAATTTAACTTATATCTTCATTCATGATATGATTCAGTTACATGAATTATCTGTAAACATTATCTCAGATAGAGAATTAATCTTCATAAAAGAGATCTAGTCTGATCTAATAACTATACTAAAGATCTTATAAGATCTAAGTATGACTTTTTATTAATAGACAGATAATTAAATAGAATATCTGATAAGTATATTAAAATAGTATCTATAGTACTTTATTAATTACAATCAGAATAACTAAGTGTATTGATTATCACTCACAGAGTTTATATACAATAACTCAAAGCATGTCAGTACAGATAAAACCCTCTTTAAGATACTTACTGAGACTCACTTATAGATAATCTTGATAAATCTGTGAGAGTATACTATAGAGTGTGATGATGTCTGTGAACAGACTGAGAGAATTCAGAATATTTGAAAGAAAGTCTGTAAATTCTTGAGAAAGACTCAAGAGTATCAGAAGAGATACTATACCTTTAAGCATATAATAAAGAGTTTTAATAAAGATGATAGAGTCTGACTGAGTCTAGAAAATATTATCATACAGAGATCTAGTAAGAGACTGAATCTCTTATAGACAGAGTCTTATAAGATTATAAAGAAAGTTAGTTTACAGTTCTACAGATTGAAACTGTTATCTAAGTTACAGATATATAATATTTTTTATATCTCTTTACTCTGTGAATATAAGAAATTCTCAGAAGAGAACTCTGTGACTTATCACTCTATTTATATAGTACTAGAGAGTGAAAGAGAATATCAGATCAAAGAAATTATTAATACAGAGAAGTGAGATTACAAGCTCTGCTTCAAGATTCAGTGATAAGAGTATTCTGATAAGATGAATGAGTTCACTTAAGAATTATCTGAGCAGATAAGACATCTGTGAAAGCTGAGATATAACTTTCATACTATAAATTCTAATAAGTCAGAATGATGCAGTCTTTGCTAACAATCTGATTATAATAAAGATATTAACACTATTATTTATAAATTCTAGTCTATAAGATAATGAGTTTCTACTGAAATCAACAGTCTGCAATATATATAAAAGAAAGAAGAAATCATATTCTTATTAAAGTTAAAAAATAAGAAAATAGAAACAGGCTTGTAAACATAATTTAGAGATTAATAAAGAAAAAATAAAGAAAACTTACATTTACATTCTTAATATCTATGAATGACACTTAATTCTCTCACAACTATTAATTTTCTTCTTCAAAGAAGTAGAAAGTATTATATCTGTGATATAGATAATTATTATATTTGATATAAAGATTATCAGAAATACAAAGACTTTATAAAAGTTAAACATCAGAATATACACAGTTGTAGCAGAGTCTTGAAGACTGATTATCTGTATATATAATCAGATACTTCTTATAAAACTGTGTCTACTCTCTCAGTTGTACTAAAGTATTCAGTTTGAAAATAATTGAGACACAGAGAGAGAGCTTATCTACTCAGATTCACTCTTATTACAAATTCATAGCATTTACATTATCTTGATTACTCAGATTTTACAAGTACTCAGAGACTCATCTTTTATTAACTATGAGATTGCAGAAATGTGTCACAGTGTGAGAACTGTTGATAGAGAATCTAGACATATTGTAAGAAATCCCGCTCCTCGCGGATTCTTTACCTCTATTTCTATCTCTCGCGTAATCAATAGGGTTAGCGGCCCTTGGCTACACACAACTATATAGACTGAAGTTCGCGAATAACCGTGCCATGCTTACTCACTCTCTGTAGTGAGTGCGCCACAGCGTACGGAAAACCACACTGTAAAGAAAATATTTTGAATATAGTAATCTTCAAAAATTAATTAATAATCATCATCACATCTATCTATAACATAAAGATTATCTATATACTCATTAGAAGGTGTAGAATCCACTGTAAGTTGAGATTCTATAGAATTATCTTGTTGTGATTGAGTGGCTGTAGATTTTGTAGATTTGATTCCAATCAATTGAAGAGTCTTATTGAACATCTTTTTCATCTCATCTGCTCTATGGGTCGCGATCTTGCGATTGGCATCCTTAATAGTGAGGACTCCATCTACTTGCACCTGCCTGCGGGAGGATTTGACGACCTGATGTCTATTTGCTTGATAATGACCTGCAAGTTCACCCTCACGGTGCGCGTTCAATTCTGCCTGGAGTCCTGGACCATGCTACCCTTGAAGATCTTGTTCAACTGCCTTGTCAAACCAGGTGTAAGGATATCCTTCACATCTTCTAAGGCCTTGGCTGCTGTATTGATTTGGTGACATAGTTTTGCAACCATCTCTGGGGAGGTTAATTGTGAGGAGGCAGTTGATGATCAATCTGCAGGTGGCGGGGTAAAGTGATTGCATACATCACCATCACCATCGTATATGTTGAGATCTGGGGCATCATTTTGGATTCATGGGTTTTTGCTTGACTTGTTTGTAATCTGGCAGGTGTTTGATGAATCAATATATCCACATCTTGCTTACTATGGGAGGTGCAGTCTCTGGATCTGTATGATGCTGTCTCAACATGCGGTTCGCGATATGCTCGATGATGAATGGGCAAAAATTAATGTTCAACTGATGAATTCATATCTTAATTGCCTCTTCCTGACTGTCATTCAATGCTTGATTCAGTGGAATCCTCATAGTCCTTGATTTCTTGCCATTGATCCTCTCATACAAGGTGGCATATGGGACTTTGAATTCTCGTGACAGAGATGTGATTTTTAATTTTGAATTGCTTTTGTACACATCAACAGCTCTTTGCAACTGCTCCTCAGTGTAATTAGAAGATTTAGACATGATTATAATTAATGATGATTATTTGAAGATGAAGAATAAAGATATTCAAAATATTTTCTTTACAGTGTGGTTTTCTGTACACTGTGGCGCACTCACTACAGAGAGTGAGTAAGCATGGCACGGTTACTATTCATAACTCAGCTTGAATGCTATCATACATTTAATCTCTATATTTTATCTTTCTATCATGAATACTTCTAATAGTTAACAGTACATATCACATCAAGCTGCAAATATCTGAATAATCATCTATAAGTACTTATTCTTATATTTCAAGCTCTGTCAGTCAGCAATTATCTGTTATGACTGAAAGAACTAGAAATTTATATACTTCAATCTCTGCAAACTCTACTGCAGATACTCAGAAGCAGTCATCTGAATCATGAATAATCTCTATAAAAGAAGTCTTAAAGAACTTATTAATTACATATAGAATATTATTCTCTGTATCTGTGATAGAGAAACTCTCTGCATCTGTGATAGAGAAACTCTCTGAACTGATGAATGAATCAATCTCAGTAAAGAACATTCTTAAGTATCTCTCACAGAATTAAGCTATTTTTCTACAAGAAATGCTTACTGTCTGTAAACACTCTTAAACTGAGTCTTTGAACATGATCTTCAGAGATATCTGTGAACTGAAAAGAAACTTTCTTAAGTTATAATTACTTAAGATCACTTACTGAATTATAATCTATAAAAGCTTTTACCAGTTTGTATTTAAAATTGACTCACAAGCTCAGCTGTGTAATATAAAAGATGAAGAAGCTGTTATTTATACAATAACAGATCTCTACTACACTGAAGTCAAGAACTGACTGAATTATCTAAAGAATGATTATAAGAGATTTCACTGATCTGTTCTTAAGATTTATTTAGAGAATAAGTTGAGAGACTTTACAAGCTGAACAGAGAACATCTGAACTGCAATTATTAATATTAGAAAAAGAGATAAGAAATCTGATAAAGACTACTTATAGTACTTTATAAAATTATAATGTGAATTAAGATCTGTGAAAACAGAGCTCTGAAACAAGATCTGAATAATAATATTTATAAAAAGACTGAATAAAGATATACAGAATAAGCTTATTAAGTAAGACTCTAAACTCTTGATTCTGAAGAAACTGATAACTCTTATTTATCATTTATAGATTACTGTGTGAGTTATAGATCTGTAAAGAGTAGATTATTAACTGACTCTGCAAGAGTCAAAACACAGAGAACAGATTTATCAGAGAAGATAATAAAATATAGAGAGATTATATCTACTACTGAGTAGAGAGAGAGAGCTTTATAAGCTTTTATAAACAGAGTATATAATAGAAAGACTAAGAAA